TCTCTCTCTAGTCAAATTAAAAATAATAATAATAATGGTGAATAAAATTAAATTAAATAATTCTTAAAAAAAAAAGTTAGTATAACCCAGCAATCCTACCTCTAGAAATATCTCCAAAAGAAATTAAAACAAATGTCCACCCAAAACTTTTACATTGATGTTCATAGCAGCATTAGTCATAATAGGCCAAATGTCTGTCAGCTGACGAATAATTTTTTAAATGTGGTATAATCACACAATGGGATACTATTCTGAAATAAAAAGGAATGAAGTATTAAATACATATTACAACAAAGATGACCTTTGAAGACATTATGCTAAGTGAAAGACCACACATGTTACATGATTTCATTTATACAAAATGTCTAGGATAATTTTTTTTTTTCAGACTAGAAAAATCTTACAGAGATCAAAAGTAGATTTGTGGTTTCCTCGGGCTAGGGAGAGTGAAGTAAATGGAGAATAACTACAAATAGGTACAAGGTTTCTTTTGGATATGATAAATATGTTCTAGAATGATTAATATATACATAAATAATGGATATGGTTGCACAATTCTGCGTGTATACTAAAAACACTAAACTCTTATTCTCCAGAGGGGAATGACCACACCACAATCCCTTCTCCTCCACTCTCCTCTCGGGATTTTGGGCATGCATGCACACATGCCCTGTGTGAGCTTTAAGCTGCCAGGTTTGGGACTAGAACAGCTATCAATCACGTGGGAGTCCAATGCCTCAACCACTATGCCACCTGCTGGCCCCTATTTGTTTATTATTGTAGATCATGGACACCTTTCTTATAGGTGAGTATCATTTGTTAATGCTGTCAGAGTATTGCTTTGAATAGATTAATAAAAATTTGTTTACAATTATGTAGATACATGTACTTGTACATTTATCTTTGTACATTATTTCCTAAAGATGAACTCATAGTAGTAAAATTATCCAGTAAAATTCTATATGCTTTTAATATTTTTATGAACATTGCCTTATAGGCCTGAATAAAATAGTACTAATAACAAGCATAACCAATAGCACTAAATTTTTCTGTGTATTAGGGCCAACAACACATATAAAAACTTTTCTGATTTTTTTTAAGAGAGATTTTTTGCTATATGGCCTGCACAGTCACTGAGAAACAGAGAGACAAAGTGAGAAATCACCCCCCAAAGGGGATGACCACATTGCAATCCCTTCTCCTCTACTCTCTTTCTGAGATTCTGGATACACATACACATGTGCCCAGCGTAAACTTCCAAACTTTTACAAGAGACTTCTTGGGGTCAGTTGGTGACATGGTGGTTAAGGGGCTGGAGTTTTTACATGGTTGACCACCATTCGAGTCCCGGACCTGGTGGCTTACTTTCTCACTCTCTCTCTGGTTGAGTACATGTGCCCTGTGGCAAGTTAAAAAATAATAATAATAAATAAAATTATATTTAAAAAAAATTTTTTTAAAAAAAAGGGGGGACCTCTAAAAGGGGATGTTTTCCCTGTTTTGGTTGAGATAACTGGATCAATTTTCTTACCTTCAGCCTCGGTTGAATTCCATTCTGCCAAGCATGAAGAAATGAAAAGAGCTAAAGGGATCAGCCCTCTTACAACCTTCATCTTTGCAAGAGGCAGGGTAGGCTTAAGGGTTAGCAGGGTTTTATACTACTCTGTGTTTCATAATTATCTGGTTTCATCAGCTTCTTGGCGACCTCCAAGAAACAAACATGTCAGTTTGAGCCACGCCAGAGGTAGATTTATGTGAGAATTGAGCAGCTGTGTGACTGGTTTATTATTAGCAATCCCCATCAGTTAAGTGTTTGCTCCCCCTACTCATTCCTGGAAGATCTGCAGGCAGCTACAGCGCTTCATTAGGAAGTCCTAGCAGGGAGTGCAGCAGGCACTGAGTAATTCCTCCTGGAACTGACTTGGGGCTGGGCTGAGCTTTTGCCCTACGGTTGGTCTAGATCATGAATGGGGTGGCATCATTAGCCTCTTAAGCATTTGCTGCTCTTGTCCAAGATGGAAGCCTTGAGGGTGCAAAGGGCCAGTGAGGCAAAGTAGTGGTGACACCTGGGCAAACTCTTGGCCCAGCTGGGTCACTCAGATATCTTGCCAGGGCGCTGAACGTGAGGGGAAGTGGCAGGGATAAGGGACAAGGAAGAAAAGGCAAGGCAAGCTTCTCCAGAATTTCAACCTTGCTTGTCTGTCTAATAGGCTGAAACAGGATTGAAGTCTCCCAGGCACGATGTTTTGCATGCGAAAACAAGGAATCCTGGTGTCCAAGAGAGATGTAAAGAACTAAGGAGAAGGGTGGGGGGTTGCTGCCTTCCTTTCATTCATTCATTCTGTCACTATTCATTACTTAATATTTTAAGGCAGGCCAGCCAGTGGCATGGTCGTTAAGGTGGCTGAATCCCATATGGCTCTGTGGTTTGGGTCCTGGACCCACCAGCTTGAAAGACACACTGAGCATATGTGCATGCATGCCCAAAATCCAGGGGAGGAAGAAGAGAAGAAGGGATTACAGCATGGCCATCCTGCATGGTTGGGACGGAGAGCCATGGAAGGGTGCTTTCTCACTTTCCCTGTTTCTGACAAGCACACATGCCCTCTAGCAAATTTAAACAAACAAACAAAAAAAGTCCTAGGGCCTGGGGAATACAAAATTTAACAAGAGAAACCGTTCCTGCCCTCATGGAATTTATGGTCTTAGTGAAGGAGACAGACAACTTACAAAAATAAATTAAAATTAAAATACTAAGTGGTGCTGTGAATATTGTAAAACAAGGTTATGGGATAAAGAAAGGTTGCCTTGGTGGATTTGGGGGATGCAATATTAAGGTGGAGGGGGTAAGTCCTGAGATGATGAAACTGAGCAAAACTGAAAGAACAGGTTCTCGGGCACTGGTTTTTTAATTTTTTTAAATTTTCCAGATGGTGCGAGTGCAATCTTGCCAGGCAGAGAGGCAGTGAAGGGGTGGGGGTGGAGGTGGGGAATAAGGGCCCCCCAATAGTGCATTATCACACTGTAATACCTTATTTTCTATTTCTCCATCCTGTCAAGATTTGGGGCACACACACATACACAGCTCACATGTTTTTCAAGCCTCCAGGTCTGGGGTTTGATCTGTCATCAGCCATATGGGATCTAGCTATCTCTCAGGAACTATTCTAAGTGTTACATGCTTTAACTCATTTTGAGATGTAATAACTCAAGAATGGGTGAAAATAATGACTTATGATAAGTATTATTTTAAATGTTAATGTATTACCATAGGAATGTATGTTAACAGAATCAAAACTAAATAATTACTGGTAGAAAGGTCACCAGGGTGGTGACAACTCATTGCATCCAACATCTATTACTTCACTGACATTTACCAGGCAAATTCATAGCTGGAATAAAAACTACCTTTTGGTCAGGCTGCCATGGTGCATGTTACCATCTAATCTTAACCAATGAAAGAGTCAAGTGGTTTGTTCAACTTGACATAAAAAAATGAATTTTTATTGTGTTTGGAGAAAATATCACCTTAAGAAAAGCTTCAGAGGGGACCAGCAGTTAGCGTAATGGCTATGTCGCTGGACTCCCATGTAGTCGACTGCGGTTCGAGTCTCAGACCCGGCGGCTTAAACTCATGCCGGGCACATGTGCGTGTGTGCCCAAGATCCCGAGAGGAGAATGGAGGAGAAAGGATTGCGGTGTGGCCAGCCCCCTTGGGGGGTGATTTCTCGCTTTCTATCTCTCTGTCTCTCTCTGTCTGTCTGGCGAGCGCATGTGCCCTATAGCAAAAACCTCTC